CTATTATTATTTTATATATAATAAATTTTAATGGCGATGATTCTAATACGGTTATATAAGGTTATAGACGATTTTTTTTAAATAAAATTTAAAATTTATATCTCAATTTATTTGTATAAATAACTTTATATTTGCTTTTCTTACGATTACACTACAAACTCGTTCTTCTTATTTATAAATCCCTGAACGTGGAAGAGTTTAAATAAAGACATTTCTTCAACCTGGATTCTAAGAATCCACATTGCATTTCAATGTCGACAATGTCAACGTTGAAAGTTCGATAAGTTAAAATGAAAATTCTATACACGATTGTATGGAAAGTTATCAGAAATTTTCAATGTGTTTTCTCTAAACCCACACCAACAGCTTATATAATGTTAGAAAATTTTTATAAGCTTTATCTTAATTAGATGATGTCTATAATAGGTAATTTATTTGTTAAAGCATGCAAGAAACGTTAGAAAAAAATTTTTATTACATAAATATCTCGCTAAATTTATCTTTCCACGTTAAAAAAAATATATCTTAAAAAATCGTTGGTTCAGGCGGTCACTTTTATATGAAAACTTAATTATAACAAAAGCCTTTAAATGATAATGAATTTGTTCATTGAAAGGACGTGAAAAAATGTAAATTAACTGTTTAATAATTTGCAATTATAAAATTTTTAAAGATTAGTTTCTGTCATATATTTTCGAAAGTTTGTAACCATTGTTTAACGCTGAAGGCGTATAGTGTAATTCTTATAGTTTGTTGTTAATCAACTAGTTGAACGTTGGTAAATGCCTAGAGAACTTATATATGGTCAAGTGAGTTAATGTATTACACGGATTCGATGTTTTCAGGCGAATAAATTAATTAATTATCATTTTACCTTCAAGAGAAAAGAAATTAGATAGACAGAACTTGTAAACCATTTACGTAACTTTATTCTTTCAGATCTTTAATCGAGTAAAAACTCGTAAAATACTTTATATAAACATTAAAAGATCTTCGTGTTTAACTAAAGAAATATACGAATAAACAATTTTATAAATTACTTTTAAAATATTTAAGGTAAACAGTCGTTTAACTACGCCATCCTTTACTTAATGGATAGACAAATAAATGGATAAGTTTTAAATTAATGTTATCTAATAAATCACAAGTCGTTAAATTTAAATAATTAAAAATTTATTACATTCTCCACGCTATATTAATATATATTATTAAATTTATATTTAGTTATCATGACATTAATTATAGAAAATAAATCTTTAATGAGTAATAATCAAATCTGTACATAGATACATACAAGATATAAGCTTATATATATATATATATATATACACACATATATATATATATATATATATGTGAATATTTATCATACTAATTGAAATAAATGAATAATTCTCTAATAATTCATATAATATGACATAATAATATATTATTAAATCACAAGTTTTGCTACATGTGTTTGAAGCAAGCTTATCTGTTCCATATGGAATTTTCGTAATTGCATTTTCAGTTGGGGAATTGTGAGTTGTTTTTTGTAGCTATTATATATATATTTTATTTTATCTATCTAAAAACTGTTGATTCTTCACAGAAAATTTCTGCCAACCTACATCCTAAATGATCTCGAATTTCTATATAGTCTTTCCCAGTTAACCTCACAATACAGCAATGTATTCTTAACTCTAGTCACGTCTTGCCTACCTTCAACGCCTTGTTTGCTGCCCCGTCAGCCAATGCAGCCATATGTGGATCAAGCCACAAATAACATTCCCTTCAGCTGCATACTAAGGAAGTAGAATAGTTTCAGAACTATACTGTCCATATATAAGAACGTGATATCGCTACAGACTTGAAAAATCTGGTATATACTAAAGCCTAGGCAAGTTATCCATAACAAATTTTGCCCGGAAGGACTATTCTTACAATGAGTCTTTTCCTATAAACGATTACATTACATTGATGTGTTACAACGTACGTAACACTTCTATACACGCGTATAAATGCAGAAAAACACCTCTGCCTAACTTTATCTACAGTGGATTTGTATAAATTTGATAAGGTTTCGCGCGTAACATTCGATACAATTATTTAATGGAAATGGCTATAAAAAATATTAAAGGATGGCCGTTTTTTGATCGTTATATGTCAGAAAATTCAATAAGCATTGAAATATTTAGTCAAAGCATATTTTAAGAATTTTTATGTCAGAAATTTTCAACGTTCTTCGTGTGTTGCTCTTCGTTTGAAAGACATGTCTGCAACACTAAATAGAATTGTATCGAATGTAAGACTTTTCAATATAAAATTTTATTATTTACTATCTTTGAGTGTGTTCCGTCCGCAATACATATAACATGAAGAATGGTAATAGATAATATATATGTAAATTCTCCTTTTATTGTAAAGTATAGAGATTTATAACACAACTATATAAAAGAAAGATGTATATAAATCTAAAAATTTTAATATATTTTTTAAAATTCTAATTCTATAAAAATTTATTTCCAGAAAAATTCATCATTATTTTCATATTTATTAAAGTATTTAAAAAATGAATAAATTGGTGTTTTAACTATTAAAAAAGTGCAGTTGTATTTTATATTTATTAGAATTTTAGCTGTTAAATTCCACAAATAAATTCTGTACATTGAAGTGATTTAAAATTCAAGTAAAAATGTAGTTCGATTATGCAACATGAANTTATCTAAAGAGTTATCGTTTATTTTATTTTATTTTTTTCTAATTAAAATGTTACAATTTTAGGATTTAAATGTTGTAATTACGGACGTATCGTTTGATATACGAATGGATTAAACGGTTATATAAAAGTAATTAGTTGTAATTGTGGTTAAGTATATGTAAGAATTTAATTGTTTTTACCATAAAAGTATAAATTTTACATCATTTTATCGGTATAATTTCTTTAAATTTATGAACATATGGTTTATAAATCGAAAAAACTATATTGATTTTTTTTAATTCAGTACTTAAAAACAATAAATAATTGGGCTGAGTTTGAAAATATTGTGGACCTATAAATTTCCACTGTCGTCCGTCTACCTGTCTGCCTGTTCTTCCTTAATTTTCACGTGATTTCAATTCAAACATTTTCCCCTGAAAGTAGTTAGATAGCTGACCGACACGACTCTATTGCCATCAGGAAAAGTATGATGTACAGGGGTAAGACATTACTAATTTGAGATCGAGAGCATATATTTTAAATTAAATACATTAAAAATATGATCAAAAATTGCATAAATAATTTTCCTTTTTACATCTAAACGTCGAGGTATGCAAATCTTGTTTTATTATTTAAAAAAAAAGTCAGATAAAACCTCAGCAGTTGAGTTGTACAAATAAATAAATATATATATTTATATTTATCAATAATAAAAATGCAAATATTCAAATATTTAACATTACGTTATAAAATGAAATCGAATTTGAAATTCATTTTAGCAGTCGCATGCATTGAAAAAAAGTGGTTTTAAAATGGAAAAAAACAATGTAGAAGTTTTGAAAGATGGACGTCGTTATTAATATATATATTTATACATACACCCCCCCATATATTAAAGAGAATAATATGATTTTAAATTGATGAAAAATAAGTTTTGAATGTTTAAAGTTAATTTTAAACGTCAAATGTAAAATGATGATACAGAGTGATGTTGTCATTCATGGAACATTTTTAGAATGGGCCTTTCTATAACCGCAAGCTTACTACGTTGTCTATTCTGTTCAAAATGTTCAGTACTCAATGTCCTAGAGTATTTTCTCTTTGAATCATCTTGTCTACATTACTTTCCTTACTAATTTTTCTTACTTGATTTTCTAAGTAATCGTTGGGATTCGAAATCCTTAAGGTTTTTTCGTTGTCAATCTTTATGGAAGATGTACGAATATGTCCTCTGCTGGAACACTTAATGTCACCGTAGGATTTGGACATAATCTTTATACGTACGCTATTAAGACCGATATAGATTGTTACATAAGATGTCCACCGACAAGAATTACCAATTATCTAATCGATTTTCTACAACTCTTTGTTTAATTTACTGAATTTATAACTAAAAACTAAGACCTTAACTGTCGCAATTCGTTTTAATCAAACTCTTTTCTTTCATTTTTGTTTATAGAAAGAAAAAAATGGGTCTTCTTCAACTTATTTTTTCTTAAAAAAAAAGTATGGATTACTTGCTTAAATGGATGGGAAAACTGAGAAAAATTCACTCCATCGCATTTCTATCGAACGATCGTTTGTTATGCTTCAAAAAAATCATCTCTTAGATTGGCATAAAGAATTTCCGATAGTTTAACGTTCGGAACATTTAAAGATTCGTATTTATCAAACAAAGAATGGAATTTTTTAAACCTTTTATATGCAAAATTGTTTTTTTATGTTGCAGTGTTGAAACATTTTCAATCGGGACAAAACTATTCAAACAACGATTTGGCAGCAAAGAACGATCTTCCTACTCAAATGTTGGTTGAACAAACGTCTAAAGTGCCTTATATGGCTACTTAGAACGTTAGGGAGGCGACAATACTTTCCACTATTTCTTCTTCTATCCCTGACTAAGCAGTTCTTGAATGACCCGGTTTGTCTCTAACATTAAAACAAAAAAGTATTAATATTCAGGAATTTTAATTAAAAAAACATCAACTTTAGAAGCATTTTGTACAAACTGTAAACAAGTCTGTTGCTATCTAAGCTCTGACTCACTTTCTTGTATGTGTCTTTTAACTGTCTCAACTAATAAATGTTTTGTCTCTACGCCGCAGCCATAAATATTTCAGGAAAGACCATCCCCTACCAATGTAAAGCAATTAGTGGTAAGTGGATAGTATGTAGATTGTAAATTCTAAGCTCCAATTTGCTTTCTTTTAAGTGGGTTGACTTTGTTTAAGCCAATAAGTGTTTTTTCACTAACCCTGGGCCAAAAATATTTCAGTAAATACATCTCCTAATGTTCTACNTTTTTTTTCTGTAGGTAGCATGGATAAAGATGGATACACAAACTCTCTTATCAATTCACACACACGTAATCACTAGAGATTCACGTATTCGTGTAAGCAATAACAACCACAGACAATGGTACTTACATATAAAAGAGGTCCGAATCGAAGATCAAGGCTCGTACATGTGTCAAATTAATACAGAACCCATGGTTAGCCAATTGGGATACTTAGAAGTTATGGGTAAGTAAATTGTATTCTGTTGATGAAACGTCTCTCACATAAGACATCTTACATTCTGTCGTATCTTTTTTTTTCATTCAATCGGTTTGCACACGACAATAACAAAGAGAACAAACATGAAAAGGGAGGCTGTGCTGTCAGTTTAACTTTCTCAGAAATATGCCACTTTTATACGTTCGACAAAAGAAGTCAACTTGAGTATGTAGACACAGTCGACTTGTCAAATTAGAAATTCAATCACTTCGTACAATGTGTTGTATATGTTGTACATAAAGTAACAAGATTTGCTTCGAGACGGGACGTAACAAGTATATAAAAAATATATATATTTATATGTATTTTTTAAAAAAAACAGTAGGGAATGAAAATTAAAAAAACAGGATCATAAAAATGCGTTTTATATGTCAAGTTAGAGAAGGAAAGAATTTTTTTATTTTGTTCTTTCAAATCAATTTGAATAGTAACATGAACCTCAGTTGTACTACAAATGTATTGCTTATGTTTACAAACAGTAAAAAGTTAAATTCATGTCAAAATTTAGGAAAATATAAGTTATCTTTATGTTATTTTTTACTACATATTATATGCTTTATTCAATTAATTTAACGATTGTTAATAAGCATAATTTATATATCTTTATCATTTAAATAACGATATAAAATTCCTAATTGGAAACGTTAATAAAATGTAAATATATTATTATTTTTTCAGTCTACGAGGCTTGCTAAAAATTTTTATTTATTTGCATTAACATAAATCTATTTAAATTTTAATTATTTATGCATATTCTTTTAACTATATGATTTATTATAAAGAGGGTTAAATATATATATTTATGCAGAAAACGAATAGTTTTAAAGGCCTTTATAGTTTATTTATAAGTTTAATATACGTGCTATAGGCGACGGCAATAAATTTTTTCATCATTTCTTCCATTATATGAGTAAATCATAAACAGAATTTACATAAAACATACGCATAATTGTACAAGGAATATTGCTTCGTTCTAGAGGATGCGACGTTAGAAAATAAATTGCATAAATTCGACGATAAAATATGAAAAAAGTAAAACTTTTCTACATTGATTAAAAGTAATAACGTTTAAAACAATAATAAATCTGAATATATTTAATATATTTATCATTGTTATTAAACGTCGTTTAATAATTTTTCCATTCTGTTGATTTACAAAACGTCTTTCATCATTCATGCTTTATGAGGCATGAGATAAAAGAATGGAATTAACAATATTAAATCAACATACAACTGTGCAATATTTCGTTTCCAGAGCGATTTCTCTTAAAGAAATTCATCAATTAACACTTCAAGAAGAAGAGGCATTTGTTACACACACGAAAAAGAAAAGATAAATAGAGTAATCAATTTTTTTCTTACTATTTATTTAAATATTGAATTCATCTCATTTCTCATTCATGCATTCCATCATTTCGAATATATTAAAAATCTTCCGATAATTTTATAAATAATTACATACAGATTATAATTACGGCCGTCTTCTAGTACATTTTATTCATCATCAATACATAATTCGATACTTATCCTCTTGAATAAATGCAGGAATGAACATTGAGATTGAATACATAATGAAAATAAACGTACATTAATGAGCCTCATATTATCTAGAAATGTTAATAGAACTTTAAATTCTAAAAGCAGAGTTTTGAATATATGAATCTTTGTCACATCCCAAATACCTTGATTGTGACCAAGTGAACATTTTCTACCGAATCAACTCGCATGTCAGTACATTAATCTACAAAATTTGCATAGTTTTGACACTTAATTAACCACAGTTTTCGCACAATAAAACGATTTACTAACTTCCGTTTCTCTAGAGGATATTATAAGCAACAGAATACGAGTTTAAACTTTACAAATTGTATATCCCCCTTGTAGACCTTTACAAGAGTAAGACCATGACCTGTTGTTGTGAGTATGTATGGTCAGTCTACTGTAAGCAATTTATCAAGTTCTTTTTCGTTACTGCATTCTTTTGCTAGAGAACAATCTAAACTGGGGATGCTATTTGATACTGCGTGGAATTTCAACGTGTTACCCGTGCGTGTAGTTTCGTATAAAAAATTCAATAGAAAACCAAGAGGTGAAATTTTTTGTTTTTTATAATTATAGAAAGTTTAAGAACATCTATTGAAGATTTTTCTTTGTTTACTAAACGTGATACGTATGTTAAAGATTCAAATAATCTAAAGTGTTCATTAACTTTTCTATGAAGGAAAGAGAATAGAAATAAAGATCGCAATTTATTAGCTCTTTTATATATTAAATTTTACTTAAATTTATAAGTTTTATTTATAAATTATTTAATTTAGTTTATCGTCTTTACATAGTATTAGTAAATATTTTTTTAAAATTTATTCTGTAAAGGCCTTAAGAGAATTTGTTTGTTATATAAACGAAGAAATTTATAAAAGATTTGGTAAAATGTTGTTAAATTATTTAATTTTATAATACTTTAAATTATTTCCTTACATATTTAACTGTTTACAATTTTTAAAACGCCTTGCGAATTTGCCTGCCAACTTGAATAATTTTAATAATTGAAATTTATTTATTATAAAAAGTTTATTTCAGTTAAAGTATTTATACATTTACAATAAAAAATTATATTTTTAATTATTCAGAAAATAATTTAACTCTTTACATTCGTAATTTTTAAATGGTTTAAATTTTCTTAAAAATTCAAAATTCAAAATTATAAATCTTTAGTTTTTTTAATAATAATTCTGTTTCCAAATTTTATAATTAAATAATAACACACTTAAACTTTATCGGTTCTTAATTTATTAAGGAAATAACGACTTAAACAGACATCAAATATACTGATAATATCGCAGTAAGAAAATATAAATATTAAATTTAAAATAATATAAATATAATTAAAGTACATTTACAAATAGAAAAAAGAAAGAAATTTAAATATATATATTATTAAATATACATAAATATAATTAAATATAAAAGAAAAATAAATAGGTTTACGAGAAATTATTTAGTGACATCGTCACAATGCCGGACTGTTGGTTTTAATCATATTTTTAATTTATTTAATTTAAAATATATGCTCTCGATTTCAAATTAGTAGTGTCTTACCCCTGTATATCATACTTTTCCTGATAACAACAGAGTCATGCCGGTCACCGTTCTCGAGATTAAGGAAGGACAGACAGACAGTAGGAATGTACAGTACTGTACAGGTCTACAACATTTTTTTTTTCAAATTGCAGGCCAATAACTATAAATCAAGACTATCAATTAATGAAACATAGTTTATTATTAAAGACTACATTGAGTGAAGACGTAAAGAACGTATACAAAATTAAATAATAATAAATATATAAATGCAAAAGTTGAAAGTTTGTAAAAGAAAAAACAGTTGGAAATTATTTAAAAATTAATATTTTTATGATTTTTTACACTAACTTCTTATATTATTTATACCTGTAGTACCACCTTCTGTTGTGGAAGACGGTACAAGTTCAGATATCGTAGTAGAAGAGAGATCGAAAGTCAGTTTAAGATGCAGAGCATCAGGGTATCCTGTTCCAAATATTTCGTGGAGAAGAGAAGACGGAAAAGATATCAATTTAGGTTCTTATGGGGGGAGGAGGTACTCAGGTAAATAATATATTTACATTTCAATTATTATAATTGGTGTTATTATACACTTATTATTATTTTTCTTCCTACGTTAATTTCTATTATAAAATTCATTTAATTATAAATCATAAACGTATGTTGACCCATCCGAAACCGAAATTATCTAATTTAATAATCTGGCAAGATATTAATTGGTTAGACAATTTAAACTGATTACTCGCAAACTTTCATTGGTACCTGTTTGTGTAAACAAGAGGCTTTTAAAGTGCTGAAATATCATTTAATAATTTCATTAACTTGTCTGCTATCCCATTGGATCGATTTATAATTCTCTTTCTTACAACAGGGTTTAATGACGAGTTAATAGTTTAAATAACTTTATTCAACTCGACAATAAGTAAAATTAATATACGTGTACCTTTGCTTACATTATATAAAAGTTAATTATCATAAGATTAGAAATTTAAAGTCATTTCTAAGTAAAATATTTATATATTATTACGTATTATGCTTACTTAACACAACACACTACTTAATTATTACGTAAGCTACTACGTAAAAGATAATTTAAATTAATTCTGTTACGTAATAGAAATTAATTTGTCAATTACCGTTTTATTAATTTTTGTTTATAATATATATTAAAAATATATTTATTGCTTAAAAAATATAAGGATTTTTATAATTAAAAATATTTAGATATTTTTTTTCTTACTTTTTTCTTTATTAAGAAAAAAGAAGAATAAGAAGAAATTCTTTGTTGAAAAGGTTCATTTAAATTTTAAAATGCCATCATTTACAAACTAATTTGCATAATAACATACTGTACAGTCTGTATTCCATTCATTTACATTGTTAACTCGACATATGTTCTTTTTAGCTCCTAAAGTAGAAGGCGAATATTTAAATATCAGCCAAGTTACTAGAGAAGACATGGGAGCATATTTATGTATAGCAAGGAATGGTGTGCCACCAACAGTCAGCAAACGCATCTTAGTACAAGTAAATTGTAAGTGTAGGATAGAATTACTGTATATACTATATTTACTACATCGTTATTTTTAGTAATTTTAAGAAGATTTAAGTCTAGACGATTATTTTCTTTTTACAGTTTCTAATGAATTTTTATGAATTTTTTACCTATCATATACAAACTTTTCCTTCATATTTCTTCACAAACCTTTAAAATTTACATAAAACATTATATAAATACTTTAAAAATAATTCTTTGTTATTATTTTAATGGTTAAAGTTGTAAAACTTGCACTTATTTACGCGATATAAATAATTAAACTTGCAAAAATAAAAATTAAATAATTGTATAAACTATATGAAATAGCACTCATTGTTACAAATAGGATTAATCTTATCATTAAAATAAAGGAAGGAAAGAAGATAATTTAAATAATGGGCGAATAATTCTAACATTACTTTACTTTAATTCTTGCGATTATCAGCGGTTTGACAAAATTACAATTTTCTCTAAAGCGATAGTTGTTCCTTGCATTATTACGTGGTGTTAGGCAATATCTAAGGTATTACTGAAATCACACTTTGTGGTAATTGTGAATAGTTCAACTATTATATCCTCTTGTGACTTCTCTACCATTTGGGATTACATTGAGCAGTCTGTTGTTTGGCACAATCTGCGTAATATTGGAAACGTTTGGTATGCTTAATCGGATTGTAATCCTATTAATTAATCCAAGTGTATTTGTTGATGTTATCCACGTGTTTATTAATACATCGGTTCCTCGAACTAGCGTAAATAATGAAGTGGCCTTTCAGGATACATTAACATTAAGACGTAGAACTCACGAATCTCTAGAGTATCTTTTATGGTTTGCTTTAGAAATCTTTATGTTTATCTTTACTTTTAGTTCGAAATCATTAATTTTAATAAATTAAAATGCATTCAAACTTTGATCATTTCGCTATCGAGTGTTAATTCTACAGCACAAACTCATACATTTATATGTATGCACCTATTTTTCTTTTCTAAAATTACTATTTTTCCCATTTCTCTTTTTTTTTATCTACGTGAACTATACATCTTTGTCATTTTTTTTAAATCCAAGAAAGGAAAAAAAATATAAACAATTTATTTTATTCATAAGATATTAGACGTTCATCTATTCGGTTGGTGGTTATTAATCATGTCTGAAAAATGAATAATTCAAGAAAAAAAAAAGTTTGATTTTGAGATGTAATTCATCCAGATGGGATTATTCCCTAAAGAAAATTTTACAGATTGAAATTTATAAAAGAAAAATTAATAGGGTTTATATATTGTATGTATGTAATATAACGATAGTAAGAAAGAAAGAAAGAAAAAAAAAAGGATAGGTCCTCCAGAATATCTAGAAAGTATTTATAAAACCAAATTCTGTACAACCGATATTCAAAAAACCATTAAAGTGGCAATGTCTACCGTATAAGAAGAAAACAAAATAGAAGTTTTCCTATGCTTATTTTTGGCAGAAGTTGTAAGAAATGAAGCAGTTTGTTTGCAGAAACAAAGATATCTTACTTTTAAATTACACCGTTATCCTGACTGCTTTTAACAGAAAAGATTGAAGCTGTATGTTTCTTGAGATTTCCTTTTTTTTATTTTTATTTATTTTTATTTTTTCTTCTTTCAGCAATTTTACTTTTGTTATCTCTGTTTGCTTGAATTAAAGTATTAGATTTGTTACAAAATGTATTATTTGAACAAGAGAAAAGAGAGGGGGGAAATATATTAAACATATGCATATTTTTGATGTATAAACACATAATTTTTTAAATGTTTATTATTTTCTTAATCGAAAAACTAAGAAATAAATTCATTTAAATTATCTCATTTTTGTCAGAAAAAATAATAATAAATATTTGATTAAGTAATTCGTGATTATTTTTTGTTTTTTTACTTGCAGTTAGCATCTATCTTTTTTAAATATAATTAATTAATTTATACTAATTTAAGTGACATCGTCAC